TCTACAAAGTTTAGAATCACCAGAATACAGGAATTGTTCAATCAACCATATCTGTTACACATTTATTTTTAAAGCAAGAACATATTTTATATAATTGTCGGTAGATCTTCTATTTAAAAAAGTAAAAAAGGCAAATGTTAATCATATACTGTTGCATTACATTAAAAAAGTCTTTTTGGAAAAAACGAAACAAATACAGACATAAAAGCAAATAAAATAGAAATACCTAGTTATAGTGAACATAGCAAATAAAAAGCATGCAGCTACTACACACCAGGACTCGGAGGGCCCAAAATCTAGCTTCATGTCTGAGTGTTTTGGTGGGATTCAACATGAACATCAGCATCAAGATAATTAAAGCTAGAGGATGCACGAATGCTGGCAAACCGATTTGCTCACTGAAAAAGAAACAGAGCACCTGAAAATCCAGGATTTTCCAGATTAGATTCCGTCAAATCCTAAAACCAATAACTTACTGAAATTGACCACATTATTCCAAAAATTGCCCCCATTTCTATAATGTGTTGCTCGGACAAGTGATTTCGGGGGTCCATTTCAAAAATGAGAACATGATTGACGCCCGAAGATCTCCAGCCATAAATATTAATGCCCCACAAAAATAAAAATTCTACGATAAGAAGAGGGCCTCTATAAAGTCGAGTAACTATACGCCAGTCTTCTTTTGGTGAGTGAAACACTCCTAAAATTGAACTAGAAATATGCAAATTGMAAAGTAMAAAAATTACTTACTTATTACAAAARRGTGTTTACTAAAATATTTTACGCAAATAAGGAGTTTGCTRATGATACAGAATTTTTTTTAAGGTTTTTAATAGACCCAATAGWTATGATAARAMTAAAYCATATAAAGAGTTACGTTTTAGCTAGAAAAGGGCTTATTTAAGTGAATGTTTCTCGTTAGTACAATTAAAYGTATTTTATTCTTCCGTATTTTTTAAATYTTTWGTCGYATAGAATATTGTGTTGGKGCAAATAATGAGAGGTGAGAAAAAATGGGCGTTTATAAGAGTTTATAACACRAAAATCTGCTGCCGCATACWTATATATACTATACATATCCTCTCSGCCTTGCARGGCTATACTAAASAAATAACCCTRRAAGTTCATTTTAATTTGCCTCTCTCTCAACTCACGAGTTTTYACTGCAAATACATTCCGCATAAATTACCTGATAGTATAACTGCAGCAATAAGTACTATAAAACCTCCAGAGAACAATCCCACCTTGAAAGTGGTCCAAGGGCTCTGTTGCTCTCCCAATGGTGGAACTCTCAGTCTCTTCATTGCTCTTTGTCGATCACCAGATTCCAAGTCTTGCGTGAATGTTGCCTCTGTTTCTCTTATCAGTCGATCGATATCTTTATTCGTATAGAAATGTGAGTTTTCTACATTTTCAATTCGCCATCGCATGCCTACGTCTACAGATAATAGCTGGAAAACATTAACACTACCAGAAATTCGTTGATTAAAACCCCATCAAGGTTCTACTGCAACATAATTTTTTTATAAGTTGATAGATATATTTAAATACTAAGCAAAAAATGTTAATTTCTCGTTTTCTGCGCTCGATTTGTTTCGTTAAGAATCCCATTATATCCATCAAAGATTTCCTAACAATTTGTTGTAAAAGCTGCTTTTCGACGTGTTTACTCAATGCCCAAAGGATTATTTGAACATGTTATTCCATGTATATCCATTAAAAAACTGTTAAACATTTCAGGTCATTAAATGAATTAAAAATGGTTTACAAATGAATAAAAGCCACTTATTTAAGTGGAAATGAGATTAAATAAAATATGACATAAAACGGTACTTACTTTGTCATGCTTCTTTAAAATTTTCCTAAATCCCGTAAAGTTTAAATTTTGATAATTCTGCAATAAAATTAAACTTAAATAAAATTCGCTAAACGCTAGTTTCAATTCCTGCATTTTTCTGGCCGGAACGTTCTTCTTGCGTAGAATGTTCTGTTTGATTGATTTTTTTCTATTTTTCCCAGCCGAATCAACCTCTTGTGTTTCGCTAAGTTCGCTTTTTAAATTAGCAAATCTTCTTGTAGCTTCAGCCAATTTTTCTAAAATCGGGGTAACATTCAGCAGGGCAATCAGATTAAAATTTGTTGTGTTCTACCGGAATAAAATGTGTTGATTTTTGTTAGTTCCTTTTCGGAGAAGCTGAAAAACTGTTCGTCAAATTTTGCAAAATATCTAGTTAAAATGTCGGGTTCAACAAGTTCGGCGGATGGTGCCTGTTCTACTGCACCATACAACATTGCTTTCATTTCCTGAAAAAATAGGGAGACTTTATTAAGGAAAACATTTTTTTCGTGAGCAGAGGCGCAAAACAAGAATAACACAATAGCCAAAGCAAAACAAAACATATAAAATATAGAACTTAACAAAACAGTTATTAGAATAAATACAAGTACAATAGGGACTAATTCCTTCATGGCTTTGTATCAGTTTTTGTCTAAAAATTCAATTTAATTTTTTTTCAAATTAAAACTAGGATTTTGTCAGTTTAAAACTGTGTTTTTGTCTGCATTTATTTTTTTATTAACTCTACATACTACTTTTTATTTTAACTGGCGCCGGGGAAGAAAGATGAACATTTTTTTCCGTTTTCCCCAGGTGAGAAGAAAAATACAAATAACAAAAACTACTGAATTGATATTACATTATTAATTAAATTTGGTCCACTATCCTATATTTCTCAATTGTATCAGTGGGAATTTTTAAACTTTCGAAATAAATTTGCGGAATATCTGTTGCTTTCTAAATATTCTATGCCGAGTAGAGCTGGCTGTTTAATTATAATGTTTAATTATATGTTTAAGCATAATTTGATTTCAAAAATATGTACCTATGCAGTTTGAGAAATTAACTTAAGTTTTATTATACGAAAGTTCAAAGTAAAATCCAAATAAATATGGAATTGAATTGAATTTGCATAACTATAATTTACATACAGAAATGATTTAGTCAGCTTTTCACTGTTCAATATTGAAAGACAAACATTATTCTATGTCGTTTTATTTTTAAAGTCTCT